GCGTAGCACCCACACGCTCAGCACCCCCAGAGTCAGCACCCCCAGGCTCAGCACCCCCAGCAGCACCAGAGTCACCAGCGACCTGCACAGGCTCGACTGCGTCTACCTGGGACACACCTGAAGGGGCAGGACCCTGAGGGGGAAGGGGGTCTACCGGGGGGGGACCTGGCACAAGGAAGAGCGGTGGCGGGGGGAGGGACGGAGTGCGGTAGGGGAAGAGACGGTAGTAGGGGACCGACTCGTCAAACGTGACGTCCTGGGAGGACAGAACACGGCGAGAGGTGGGGTGGTAGAACTGCCACCCTGGCGCGTCAGGGGGGAAGCCAAGGAAGACGCAGGGAGCAGCACGAGGGGACAGCTTGTCCGCAGACAAGTCGCGGACAAACGCCCGAGATCCCCAGACACGGAACGCAGACGCATCGCCAACCTTCCCCGTCCACAACAAAGCTGGGGAGGTCTCCGGCATGGAGACCCTGGGCTGAAGGTTGATCTGATGCGCCGCGTACCGAACCGCAAACGGCCACAGAAAATGGGGGGCAGCCGCATGCATCATGGACGTACGGGCGACGTCCATGACCATGCCAATGCGGCGCTCAGCAATCCCATTTTGCTGTGGAGAGTCCGGAAGCGTGAAGGTCTGGCGGATGCCTCGTGCACGACAGTAGGCTCGCAGAAGGCCAGAGGAGAACTCTCCGCCTCTGTCAGAGTGCAGACGCAGAACAGGAAAGTCCGAGCCGAAACTCTCTCTGAGCTGGAGACGAGCCGCGCGGATCCAGTCGATCAACACCTCAGTGACATCACCCTTGCTGCGCAAGGGGAAGACTGTGGTGTAACGCGAGTAGTCGTCAACCACCAGCAGGAAGTAGCGCTCGTGACCCTGTCCACGGACGCGGGCCGGGCCCCACACGTCCATGTGAAGCGTCTGCAGCGGGGCCTCTGTCGGAGGAAACTGGGAGGAGTGAGGGGCAGCACGCTGCCGCCCCTCGACACAGGGGACGCAGGTAGGGGCATGCCCCGGAGGAAGGGGAGGGAGGGACCGGGGAAGACCAGAGACAAGGACACGGGAGGCCATGCCTCGGAGACGAGGCAGGGAGGGGTGACCAAGGCGGTGGTGCCAGAGGAGAGTCTTGTGAGACAGGAGGCGACACGAGCAGGGGGCAGACTCAGGACCAGACCTGGACGCTGCAGCAAACACCTGACCCGACGCAGCTGCCTGACCAGATGCAGTGACCGGAGGAGACTCAGTGGTCAGTGTGTACAGGCTCGACCCCGGCCGACGTGTAAACGTGGCCAAGTGTCGGCCCGTCCGAGCGTCCGTGCAGTGGGTCACACGCTGGCTCGCAGGAGTGAACTGGTGAACCCCCGCATCCTGTAGGTCAGCACCACTCACCAAGTTCGTAGAGAACGAGGGGAGGTAAAGACCAGACAGGGTGCCAGAGGGGGCTGCCGGACACGGGAGGACAGTGGAGAAGTGAGCAAGGGCAGGACCCCCAGAGGGGTCTGCCAGAGAGACTGCAACTGGCCGACCAAGCGGCGTGAGTGTGGTGCGGTCTCGAAAGAAGGAGCGAGAAGCCCCCGAGTCAAGAGTGAAGGTGTGGGAGGCCGGAGCCGACGCAGTACCTGAGAGAGCAGACTCACCAGCACCTGAGGAAGCAGACGCACTGGCACCTAGAGCAGCAGCCTCGCTAGCACCTAGAGCAGCAGCCTCACCAGTACCTAGAGCAGCAGTCCCAATGCCCGGGTCGGGCGGAAAACACCAGTAACAGTCACCCTCATCACTAATAGTCACAGCATACATGGCAGCAAGAATAGCATCAAAGTCAAGGTCAAAGATAGCTACTCCCGCCCTAGACAGCTCACCCCAGCGAGGGATCTCAGTGGCCTCAGGGAACTGGTGACGCCAAGCGTCCGTCAGGCGGCCAAAGCAGCGCTGGGTGGAGTGCGCACCCCCACACGGCTCACCCGCGCGGTCGCCGGTGCGTAGGACGTAGGTGCACGGACCAGTACCCCCACCCCACTGGCGTGCAGCGTACCACTCACGAAGCTGCTGAGGGGGGGGGATCTCACGAGTGCGCTGCTGCTGCTGCTGCTGCTGCTGCTGCTGGCGCTGACCACCACCGGAGCCGACCCTCTGCGCAGCGCCACCCCGACCAGCTCCACCTCCTCCGCCGCCGCCTCCTCCACCGCCGCCACCTCCGCCACCTCCGCTCCCACCGCCACCGCCGCCGCCGCCTCCGCCTCCACTGCCACCACCGACGCCCCCACCCCCGCCACCACCCCCACCGCCACCCCCACCCCCTCCGCCGCCTCCACCGCCGCCTCCACCGCCCCCGCTAGCTCCTCCAGCGCCCCTGCCCCCCTTGCCCTTGCCAGTGCGGCGTCTCCCGCTAGGGGCAGACGCCGCACCGACCGACTCAAGACCAACGAGGTCGGCCGCAGCAGCAGAGGCAACAGAGGGCAAGAGAGGAGAGGGGGAGCTCCCCTCAAAGACAGGGGCACGAGGGTCACCACGAGAGGCTCCTACAGCGACTATGCTCTTCTCTGCTGCTAGGAGGCGCTCCTCGAGGAGGTCAACGGTGAGGGTGGTGGGGCAAGCAGAGAGAAAGTGGTCCCTGACCGGGCGAAGGGTGTCAGGGAGCCGGGTGACTACGTAGTAGAGGGTGATGTACATAGGGGGGGGGTTCTTGGCGCAGAACTCAGGAGGAAGGGCAGCGCGGTAGCGAGTGTCACTAGTGCGCAGGTGCGTAATGAGGTCAGCGACTGTGGGAAAAGCGGCGAGGTCAGGGAAGAGGTACGGCAGGATGAGGCGGCTAAGTGCAGCAGTGGCAGGGGAAGAGTAGCGTGCAACTACAGCGTCGTACAAGGTCTTAGCACTCTTGTACTGACTAAAGTGTGAACGCTCAGCGGTAGGCAAGTGGCGGCGCACAGCAAGACGGGCAGCAGCGTCGCGTGTGGCCCACTGTGAGCGAACAGTGGCGTCAGCATCAGCAGCAGGGGCAGAAGAGGCACCAGAAGTGAGGTCAAAGAGAGAGAGACCGTCTGCCCTGTCGCACTGTAGGAAAAGCTGCAGGTCATCTACCCAGACGTCAAAGTCAATGGCCCGACCCTCTGCGTCAAAAGCGAGGACACTGGGGGTAGCCATGACAGCGGTAGACTAGCAGCTGGAGCAGTAGGGTAAGGGCAGCGCAGTGGTAGAGGTGCCGCTCTTACCGGACAGGGCGGCTCGGGCGGCTCGGCGGCTCGGCGGCTCGGCAGCAACTGCAGCTCGGCGGCTCGGCGACTCGGCGGCTCGGGCGGCTCGGGCGGCTCGGCGGCACGGCGGCTCGGCAGCAACTGGAGCTCGGCGGCTCGGGCGGCTCAGGTGGCTCGGCGGCTCGGGCGGCTCGGGTGGCTCGGGCGGCTCGGCAGCAGCGGCGGCTCGGTAGATCGGCGGCTCAGCGGCGCCGGCGGCTCGGTGGTGACGGCGGGGCCGCGTGGGGACGGCGGCGGGGGCGGGTGGGGCGGCGACGAGGCCGCTGAGGGCGGCGGCGGGGCCACGAAGGGTGGCGACCGGCGCCTTAAGGGTGGGGCCACGGGGTCGCAAGGGTGGGGCGACGGGGCCAGCAGGGCAGTCTGATCAGTATGCGCACCTATAATGGGCGTACCACGCAGCGTTCAGTCGCTCAAATTTTGAGAACCACATGGATTGAAATAGAAACAATTATTGTGGATGTGGAAAAATGTCTAATCTAATGGACTAGAACAAAAGAAGAGGCATCCAATGCAGTGGACCAGTCAAAGTGATGCGTTAGGTAGTATGGTCAGTATGCGCACCTGTAATGGGCGTACCAGGCAGAGTTCACGCGCTCAAATTTTGAGAACCACATGGAACGAAATAGAAACAATTGTTGTGGATGTGGAAAAGAGTCTAACCTAGTGGACTAGCACAAAAGAAGAGGCATCCAATGCAGTGGACCAATCAAAGTGATGCGTTGGGCAGTCTGGTCAGTATGCGCACCTGAAATGGGCATACCTGGCATAGTTCAGGCGCTCAAATTTTGAGAACCACATGGAACGAAATGGAAACACTTGTTGTGGATGTGGAACATAGTATATCCTAGGGACTAGCACAAAAGAAGAGGCGTCCAATGCAGTGGACCAGTCAAAGTGGTGCGTTGGGCAGTCTGGTCAGTATGCGCACCTGTAATGGGCATACCACGCATAGTTCAGGCGCTCAATTTTTGAGAACCACATGGAACGAAATGGAAACACTTGTTGTGGATGTAGAAAATAGTATAATCTAGTGGACTAGCGCAAATGAAGAGGCGTCCAATGCAGTGGACCAGTCAAAGTGGTGCGTTGGGCAGTCTAGTCAGTATGCGCACCTATAATGGGCGTACCACGCATAGTTCAGGCGCTCAAATTTTGAGAACCACATGGAACGAAATGGAAACACTTGTTGTGGATGTGGAACATAGTATATCCTAGGGACTAGTACAAAAGAAGAGGCGTCCAATGCAGTGCACCAGTTAAAGTGATGCGCTGGGTACTTTGGTTAGTATGCGCACCTAAAATGGGCGTACCACGCATAGTTCAGGAGCTCAAATTTTGGGAGCCACATGGAACTAAATGGAAACACTTGTTGTGGACATGGAAAAGAGTATAATCTAGTGGACTAGCACAAAAGAAGAGGCGTCCAATGCAGTGGACCAGTCAAAGTGATGCGTTGGGTAGTCTAGTTAGTATGTGCACCTATAATGGGCGTACCACGCAAATTTCAGGCGCTCAAATTTTGAGAACCACATGGAATGAAATGGAAACAACGACACAGAGATGGAGGTGCATTTTGAGTCGACTCACAAGTCACGGGAGGCAGAGAGACAAGGGCACCGAGATGGAGAGGTGCGTGGGGCTCACTAGACACAGAGATGGAGGTGCGCTTTGAGTCGACTCACAAGTCACGTGAGGCGCGACAGGGGCACTGAGATGGAGAGGTGCGTGGGGCTCACTACGACACAAAGATGGAGGTGCGTTTTGAGTCGACTCACAAGTCACGTGAGGCAGAGCGACAAGGGCACCGAGATGGAGAGGTGCGTGGGGCTCACTACGACACAGAGATGGAGGTGCGTTTTGTGTCGACTCACAAGTCACGTGAGGCAGAGCGACAAGGGCACCGAGATGGAGAGGTGCGTGGGGCTCACTACGACACAGAGATGGAGGTGCGCTTTGAGTCGACTCACAAGTCACGTGAGGCAGAGCGACAAGGGCATCGAGATGGAGAGGTGCGTGGGCCTCACTACGACACAGAGATGGAGGTGCGCTTTGAGTCGACTCACAAGTCACGTGAGGCAGAGCGACAAGGGCACCGAGATGGAGAGGTGCGTGGGGCTCACTACGACACAGAGATGGAGGTGCGCTTTGAGTCGACTCACAAGTCACGTGAGGCTGAGCGACAAGGGCACCGAGATGGAGAGGTGCGTGGGGCTCAATACAGCACAGAGATGGAGGTGCGCTTTGAGTCGACTCACAAGTCACGTGAGGCAGAGCGACAAGGGCACCGAGATGGAGAGGTGCGTGGGGCTCAATACAGCACAGAGATGGAGGTGCGCTTTGAGTCGACTCACAAGTCACGTGAGGCAGAGCGACAAGGGCACCGAGATGGAGAGGTGCGTGGGGCTCAATACAGCACAGAGATGGAGGTGCGCTTTGAGTCGACTCACAAGTCACGTGAGGCAGAGAGACAAGGGCACCGAGATGGAGAGGTGCGTGGGGCTCACTAGACACAGAGATGGAGGTGCGCTTTGAGTCGACTCACAAGTCACGTGAGGCGCGACAGGGGCACTGAGATGGAGAGGTGCGTGGGGCTCACTACGACACAAAGATGGAGGTGCGTTTTGAGTCGACTCACAAGTCACGTGAGGCAGAGCGACAAGGGCACCGAGATGGAGAGGTGCGTGGGGCTCACTACGACACAGAGATGGAGGTGCGTTTTGTGTCGACTCACAAGTCACGTGAGGCAGAGCGACAAGGGCACCGAGATGGAGAGGTGCGTGGGGCTCACTACGACACAGAGATGGAGGTGCGCTTTGAGTCGACTCACAAGTCACGTGAGGCAGAGCGACAAGGGCACCGAGATGGAGAGGTGCGTGGGCCTCACTACGACACAGAGATGGAGGTGCGCTTTGAGTCGACTCACAAGTCACGTGAGGCAGAGCGACAAGGGCACCGAGATGGAGAGGTGCGTGGGGCTCACTACGACACAGAGATGGAGGTGCGCTTTGAGTCGACTCACAAGTCACGTGAGGCAGAGCGACAAGGGCACCGAGATGGAGAGGTGCGTGGGGCTCAATACAGCACAGAGATGGAGGTGCGCTTTGAGTCGACTCACAAGTCACGTGAGGCAGAGCGACAAGGGCACCGAGATGGAGAGGTGCGTGGGGCTCAATACAGCACAGAGATGGAGGTGCGCTTTGAGTCGACTCACAAGTCACGTGAGGCAGAGCGACAAGGGCACCGAGATGGAGAGGTGCGTGGGGCTCAATACAGCACAGAGATGGAGGTGCGCTTTGAGTCGACTCACAAGTCACGTGAGGCAGAGCGACAAGGGCACCGAGATGGAGAGGTGCGTGGGGCTCAATACAGCACAGAGATGGAGGTGCGCTTTGAGTCGACTCACAAGTCACGTGAGGCAGAGCGACAAGGGCACCGAGATGGAGAGGTGCGTGGGGCTCAATACAGCACAGAGATGGAGGTGCACTTTGAGTCGACTCACAAGTCACGTGAGGCAGAGCGACAAGGGCACCGAGATGGAGAGGTGCGTGGGGCTCAATACAGCACAGAGATGGAGGTGCGCTTTGAGTCGACTCACAAGTCACGTGAGGCAGAGCGACAAGGGCACCGAGATGGAGAGGTGCCTGGGGCTCACTACGACACAGAGATGGAGGTGCGCTTTGAGTCGACTCACAAGTCACGTGAGGCAGAGCGACAAGGGCACCGAGATGGAGAGGTGCGTGGGGCTCAATACAGCACAGAGATGGAGGTGCGCTTTGAGTCGACTCACAAGTCACGTGAGGCAGAGCGACAAGGGCACCGAGATGGAGAGGTGCGTGGGGCTCAATACAGCACAGAGATGGAGGTGCGCTTTGAGTCGACTCACAAGTCACGTGAGGCAGAGCGACAAGGGCACCGAGATGGAGAGGTGCGTGGGGCTCACTACGACACAGAGATGGAGGTGCGCTTTGAGTCGACTCACAAGTCACGTGAGGCAGAGCGACAAGGGCACCGAGATGGAGAGGTGCGTGGGGCTCAATACAGCACAGAGATGGAGGTGCGCTTTGAGTCGACTCACAAGTCACGTGAGGCAGAGCGACAAGGGCACCGAGATGGAGAGGTGCGTGGGGCTCAATACAGCACAGAGATGGAGGTGCGCTTTGAGTCGACTCACAAGTCACGTGAGGCAGAGCGACAAGGGCACCGAGATGGAGAGGTGCGTGGGGCTCAATACAGCACAGAAATGGAGGTGCGCTTTGAGTCGACTCACAAGTCACGTGAGGCAGAGCGACAAGGGCACCGAGATGGAGAGGTGCGTGGGGCTCAATACAGCACAGAGATGGAGGTGCGCTTTGAGTCGACTCACAAGTCACGTGAGGCAGAGCGACAAGGGCACCGAGATGGAGAGGTGCGTGGGGCTCAATACAGCACAGAGATGGAGGTGCGCTTTGAGTCGACTCACAAGTCACGTGAGGCAGAGCGACAAGGGCACCGAGATGGAGAGGTGCGTGGGGCTCAATACAGCACAGTGATGGAGGTGCGCTTTGAGTCGACTCACAAGTCGCGTGAGGCAGAGCGACAAGGGCACCGAGATGGAGAGGTGCGTGGGGCTCACTACGACACAGTGATGGAGGTGCGCTTTGAGTCGACTCACAAGTCGCGTGAGGCAGAGCGACAAGGGCACCGAGATGGAGAGGTGCGTGGGGCTCACTACAGCACAGTGATGGAGGTGCGCTTTGAGTCGACTCACAAGTCGCGTGAGGCAGAGCGACAAGGGCACCGAGATGGAGAGGTGCGTGGGGCTCACTACAGCACAGAGATGGAGGTGCGCTTTGAGTCGACTCACAAGTCCCGTGAGGCAGAGCGACAAGGGCACCGAGATGGAGAGGTGCGTGGGGCTCACTACGACACAGAGATGGAGGTGCGCTTTGAGTCGACTCACAAGTCGCGTGAGGCAGAGCGACAAGGGCACCGAGATGGAGAGGTGCGTGGGGCTCACTACGACACAGAGATGGAGGTGCGCTTTGATTCGACTCACAAGTCGCGTGAGGCAGAGCGACGAGGGCACCGAGATGGAGAGGTGCGTGGGGCTCACTACGACACAGTGATGGAGGTGCGCTTTGAGTCGACTCACAAGTCGCGTGAGGCAGAGCGACGAGGGCACCGAGATGGAGAGGTGCGTGGGGCTCACTACGACACAGTGATGGAGGTGCGTTTTGAGTCGACTCACAAGTCGCGTGAGGCAGAGCGACCAGGGCACCCAGATGGAGAGGTGCGTGGGGCTCACTACGACACAGTGATGGAGGTGCGTTTTGAGTCGACTCACAAGTCGCGTGAGGCAGAGCGACAAGGGCACCCAGATGGAGAGGTGCGTGGGGCTCACTACGACACAGTGATGGAGGTGCGTTTTGAGTCGACTCACAAGTCGCGTGAGGCAGAGCGACAAGGGCACCCAGATGGAGAGGTGCGTGGGGCTCACTACGACACAGTGATGGAGGTGCGTTTTGAGTCGACTCACAAGTCGCGTGAGGCAGAGCGACAAGGGCACTCAGATGGAGAGGTGCGTGGGGCTCACTACGACACAGTGATGGAGGTGCGTTTTGAGTCGACTCACAAGTCGCGTGAGGCAGAGCGACAAGGGCACTCAGATGGAGAGGTGCGTGGGGCTCACTACGACACAGTGATGGAGGTGCGTTTTGAGTCGACTCACAAGTCGCGTGAGGCAGAGCGACAAGGGCACCGAGATGGAGAGGTGCGTGGGGCTCACTACGACACAGTGATGGAGGTGCGTTTTGAGTCGACTCACAAGTCGCGTGAGGCAGAGCGACAAGGGCACCGAGATGGAGAGGTGCGTGGGGCTCACTACGACACAGTGATGGAGGTGCGTTTTGAGTCGACTCACAAGTCGCATGAGGCAGAGCGACAAGGGCACTCAGATGGAGAGGTGCGTGGGGCTCACTACGACACAGTGATGGAGGTGCGTTCTGAGTCGACTCACAAGTCGCGTGAGGCAGCGACAAGGGCACCGAGATGGAGAGGTGCGTGGGGCTCAATACGACACAGAGATGGAGGTGCGTTCTGAGTCGACTCACAAGTCACGTGAGGCAGCGACAAGGGCACCGAGATGGAGAGGTGCGTGGGGCTCAATACGACACAGAGATGGAGGTGCGTTCTGAGTCGACTCACAAGTCACGTGAGGCAGCGACAAGGGCACTGAGATGGAGAGGTGCGTGGGGCTCAATACGACACAGAGATGGAGGTGCGTTCTGAGTCGACTCACAAGTCACGTGAGGCAGCGACAAGGGCACTGAGATGGAGAGGTGCGTGGGGCTCAATACGACACAGAGATGGAGGTGCGTTTTGAGTCGACTCACAAGTCACGTGAGGCAGAGCGACTGGTAGGTGTATTTGAGCGAGGGCCACCCAAATATGCAACAACATTCAGGTTATTCGATGCTTCCCCCCACGCCTATAGGGATCCATGCGCTTCGTTACCATTTCTCGGCAGACATAGCTGTCATCGCAGGCGCCAAACTTTTTGGTGCGCACTAACAAAGCTGAACTTGCTCTGGTAGGTGTATTTGAGCATGGGCCACCTGAATATGCAACAACATTTAGGTCATTCGATGCTTTTCCCTACGCCTATAGGGGTCCATGCGCTTTGTTACCATATGTCGGCAGATACAACCGTCATCGCAGGCGCCGAACTTTTTGGTGCGCACAAACAAAGCTAAACTTGCTTTGGTAGGTGTATTTGAGCAAGGGCAACCCAAATATGCAACAACATTCAGGTCATTCGATGCTTTTCCCTACGCTTATAGGGATCCATGCGCTTCGTTACCATTTCTCGGCAGACATAGCCGTCATCGCAGGTGCCGAACTTTTTGGTGCGCACAAACAAAATTGAACTTGCTCTGGTAGGTGTATTTGAGCATGGTCCACCCGAATATGCAACAACATTCAGGTCATTTGATGCTTTTCCCTACGCCTATAGGGATTCATGCGCTTCGTTACCATTTGTTGGCAGACACCGCCGTCATCGCATGCGCCGAACTTATTGGTGCGCACAAACAAAGCTAAACTTGCTTTGGTAGGTGTATTTGAGCATGAGCCACCCGAATATGCAACAACATTTAGGTCATTCGATGCTTTTCCCTACGCCTATAGGGATCCATGCGCTTCGTTACCATTTGTCGGCAGATACAGACGTCATCTCAGGCGCCGAATTTTCTGGTGCGCACAAACAAAGCTGAACTTGCTTTGGTAGGTATATTTGAGCATGGGCCACCCATATGCAACAACATTCAGGTCATTCGATGCTTTCCCCTACGCCTTTAGGGATCCATGCGTTTCGTTACTATTTTTGTGGCAGACACAGCCGTCATCGCAGGCGCCGAACTTATTGGTGCGCACAAACAAAGCTAAAGTTGCTTTGGTAGGTTGGTCAGTTTGGTACAAGTCGGAGCTGGAGCTCTGAAATCTTGCAAATTATGTGGATCTTAAAGGTTAGAACCTAGTGTTGTTAAAGTAGTTGGCCTAATCTAGTTGACTGACAAGAAAATGGTACTAACCGCATCTCTACAAACATACGTAATGCGCTGGTCAAGTTGGTCGGTATGCGCGCCTGTACTGCAGGTACCATGCACGACTAGAATGCCTACTTTTGGGGCGGGGTGATGGAAAGAGGGAGAATGGGGCGGGGTGATGGAAAGAGGGAGAATGGGGCGGGGTGATGGAAAGCGGGAGAATGGGGCGGAGTGATGGAAAGCGGGAGAACGGGGCTGGGTGATGGAAAGCGGGAGAACGGGGCAGGGTGATGGAAAGCAGGAGATCGGGGCGGGGTCATGGAAAGAGGGAGAATGGGGCGGGGTGATGGAAAACGGGAGAATGGGGCGAGGTGATGGAAAGAGGGAGAATGGCGCGGCGTAATGGAAAGCGGGAGAATGGGGCGGGGTGATGGAAAGAGGGAGAATGGGGCGGGGTGATGGAAGGAGGGAGAATGCGGCGGGGTGATGGAAAGCGGGAGAATGGGGCGGGGTGATGGAAAGCGGGAGAACGGGGCGGGGTGATGGAAAGCGGGAGAACGGGGCGGGGAGATGGAAAGCAGGAGAATGGGGCGGGGTGATGGAAAGAGGGAGAATGAGTCGGGGTGATGGAAAGCGGGAGAATGGGGCAGGGTGATGGAAAGAGAGACAATGAGGCGGGGTGATGGAAAGCGGGAGAATGGGGCAGGGTGATGGAAAGCGGGAGAATGGGGCGGGGTGATGGAAAGCAGGAGAATGGGGCGGGGTGATGGAAAGCGGGAGAATGGGGCGGGGTGATGGAAAGCGGGAGAATGGGGTGGGGTGATGGAAAGCGGGAGAATGGGGAGAATGGGGCGGGGTGATGGAAAGCGGGTGAATGGGGCGGGGTGATAGAAATTGGGAGAATGGGGCGGGGTGATGGAAAGCGTGAGAATGGGGCAGGGTGGTGGAAAGAGGGAGAATGAGGCGGGGTGATGGAAAGCGGGAGAATGGGGCTGGGTGATGGAAAGCGGGAGAACGGGGCGGGGTGATGGAAAGAGGGAGAATGGGGCAGGGTGATGGAAAGCGGGAGATCGGGGCGGGGTGATGGAAAGAGGGAGAATGGGGCGGGGTGATGGAAAGCGGGAGAATGGGGCGGGGTGATGGAAAGAGGGAGAATGGGGCGGCGTAATGGAAAGCGGGAGAATGGGGCGGGGTGATGGAAAGAGGGAGAATGGGGCGGGGTGATGGAAGGAGGGAGAATGCGGCGGGGTGATGGAAAGCGGGAGAATGGGGCGGGGTGATGGAAAGCGGGAGAACGGGGCGGGGTGATGGAAAGCGGGAGAACGGGACGGGGAGATGGAATGCAGGAGAATGGGGCGGGGTGATGGAAAGAGGGAGAATGGGTCGGGGTGATGGAAAGCGGGAGAATGGGGCGGGGTGATGGAAAGAGGGAGAATGGGGCAGGATGATGGAAATCGGGAGAATGGGGTGGGGTGATGGAAAGAGGGAGAATGGGGCGGGGTGATGGAAAGAGGGAGAATGGGGCGGGGTGATGGAAAGCGGGAGAATGGGGCGGGGTGATGGAAAGAGGGAGAATGGGGCGGCGTAATGGAAAGCGGGAGAATGGGGCGGGGTGATGGAAAGAGGGAGAATGGGGCGGGGTGATGGAAAGCGGGAGAATGGGGCGGGGTGATGGAAAGCGGGAGAACGGGGCGGGGTGATGGAAAGCGGGAGAACGGGGCAGGGAGATGGAAAGCAGGAGAATGGGGCGGGGTGATGGAAAGAGGGAGAATGAGTCGGGGTGATGGAAAGCGGGAGAATGGGGCGGGGTGATGGAAAGAGAGACAATGAGGCGGGGTGATGGAAAGCGGGAGAATGGGGCAGGGTGATGGAAAGCGGGAGAATGGGGCGGGGTGATGGAAAGCAGGAGAATGGGGCGGGGTGATAAAAAGCGGGAGAATGGGGCGGGGTGATGGGAAGCGGAAGAATGGGACGGGGTGATGGAAAGCGGGAGAATGGGGTGGGGTGATGGAAAGCGGGAGAATGGGGCGGGGTGATGGAAAGCGGGTGAATGGGGCGGGGTGATAGAAATTGGGAGAATGGGGCGGGGTGATGGAAAGCGTGAGAATGGGGCAGGGTGGTGGAAAGAGGGAGAATGAGAGGGGGTGATGGAAAGAGGGAAAATGGGGCGGGGTGATGGAAAGCGGGAGAATGGGGCTGGGTGATGGAAAGCGGGAGAACGGGGCGGGGTGATGGAAAGAGGGAGAATGGGGCAGGGTGATGGAAAGCGGGAGATCGGGGCGGGGTGATGGAAAGAGGGAGAATGGGGCGGGGTGATGGGAAGCGGGAGAATGGGGCGGGGTGATGGAAAGTGGGAGAATGGGGCGGCGTAATGGAAAGCGGGAGAATGGGGCGGGGTGATGGAAAGAGGGAGAATGGGGCGGGGTGATGGAAGGAGGGAGAATGCGGCGGGGTGATGGAAAGCGGGAGAATGGGGCGGGGTGATGGAAAGCGGGAGATCGCGGCGGGGTGATGTAAAGCGGGAGAAAGGGGCGGGGTGATGGAAAGCGGGAGAACAGGGCGGGGTGATGGAAAGCGGGAGAATGGGGCGGGGTGATGGAAAGCGGGTGAATGGGGCGGGGTGATAGAAATTGGGAGAATGGGGCGGGGTGATGGAAAGCGTGAGAATGGGGCAGGGTGGTGGAAAGAGGGAGAATGAGAGGGGGTGATGGAAAGAGGGAAAATGGGGCGGGGTGATGGAAAGCGGGAAAATGGGGCTGGGTGATGGAAAGCGGGAGAACGGGGCGGGGTGATGGAAAGAGGGAGAATGGGGCAGGGTGATGGAAAGCGGGAGATCGGGGCGGGGTGATGGAAAGAGGGAGAATGGGGCGGGGTGATGGGAAGCGGGAGAATGGGGCGGGGTGATGGAAAGTGGGAGAATGGGGCGGCGTAATGGAAAGCGGGAGAATGGGGCGGGGTGATGGAAAGAGGGAGAATGGGGCGGGGTGATGGAAGGAGGGAGAATGCGGCGGGGTGATGGAAAGCGGGAGAATGGGGCGGGGTGATGGAAAGCGGGAGATCGCGGCGGGGTGATGTAAAGCGGGAGAAAGGGGCGGGGTGATGGAAAGCGGGAGAACAGGGCGGGGTGATGGAAAGCGGGAGAACGGGTCGGGGTGATGGAAAGCGGGAAAATGGGTCGGGGTGATGGAAAGCGGGAGAACGGGGCGGGGTGATGGAAAGCGGGAGAACGGGGCGGGGTGATGGAAAGGGGGAGAATGGGGCGGGGTGATGGAAAGCGGGAGAATGGGGCGGGGTGATGGAAAGAGGGAAAATAGGGCGGGGTGATGGAAAGAGGGAGAATGGGGCGGGGTGATGGAAAGAGGGAGAAATGGGCTGGGTGATAAATGGAAAAGGGGAGAATAGGGCGGGGTGATGGAAAGACGGAGAATGGGACCGGGTGATGGAAAGCGGGAGAATGGGGCGGGGTGATGGAAGCAAGAGAATGGGGCGGGATGATGGAAAGCGGGAAAATGGGGCGGGGTGATGGAAAGCGGGAGAAGGGGCGGGGTGCTGGAAA